TTTTTTTTTTGAGATTTAGCTGTTACTGATAGCTTTCCCTAACTCTTTAGCCTAAAATGCGAGGCTGAGACATTCCTGAATTCCTCGCTTTTCTTTAAATATTTCTGAATTTCTTGGCTGTTCTCATTATTCGTTTATACTGTTTACTTTTTCACATAAAATTCATGTTTAGTCCCAAGGCCGTGCCGAGATTCTCATAACTTTGTCGAGCATGGTCACTGGACTTGGCTCTGGCGCTGCAAACTTCCACAAGGACGTTTACAAAGCAGCAAAAGCTCACCTTGCCGATCGTGTAATGCCTGTACGAACGGCTGCTTTACAGGTATCTAGATTTCCTCTGCTTCTCCGTCCTTTTTCCTAAAGCATTCATTTTTTAGTGCGTCACTGCCTTGGTACCAGTTTATCCTCCATTATATTCCACTGAACTTGAAGCAGTTGTGACATTATGCACAAAAGCCCTGGATGGCTCTAACTATGAAACTAGACTAGCAGTTGCAAAACTTCTTGGTGTACTTCTAGCTACTGCATTGCAACCTCCTCCGTCTCCAATAGGTATGTTGCTTGCTCATTGATGATGTTTTCCATTTGATGATGGCGTTTACGTTACATTTGCACATTTGATTATGTCTGCCTACGATAACAATCTCTTTATGCCAGTTGTGCGCCTGATTAGCTGGATTTGTTTTCACTGGTTGCGCCTTCTTTGATTGTTTTCTATGCTTGGCAACCATGCCAATCAACGCAACGCTGCTTTGTTTGCGAAGTTTTTTCGGCAATGTGCTGGTGCCATTTGTCCGTGTGCTCTGCTAGGCATTGAGAGAAATGGGGCAGTTTGGGGACTTAGCTTTGTGTTTTTTGGTAGAGGGTTGATGGAGGGCTTTTAGACGAGAGTTCTTTCGCAGGGGAGTTTATGAATGTAGCATTGCTTTCGTGATCTTTGCGTCGTCTGACCTAAGTTGCTGAAGAAGTTTGGTGCGAAGTTTTTTATTTGGAATCTGGTTTACAACTTGCTAATAGAGATTTTAGAGATTTTTATTTTTTTATTCTAGTTTTGAAATTTTTCCATGCCTAATATTAACTCAGACAACTGACCGGCACTTCCGCAGAACGTTCGGAAAACTTCCGCCGGGTCACCT